CTTTCCACTGCCAGTGGTGAAGGTTTTAGTTTCCAGTTGAAAAACAAAATTAATATTGGAGCTTGGGAGTAGGAGGAGAAGGGAGGAAAGATACAGGAAGTTTGGACTTCAGGCTTTCCGAACCCTGCGTCATTTCCTCCCTCTTTTTTTCAGTGCTGCACACTTCAGCCTTCACCAACACTTTGACCGTAGGTGCTGTTCTCATGGGTCATTGGGAAGGAGTGTGCTTGACATTTTAGAGATCTTCAAGGATGTGGCTGTGAACGTGGCTCTTTCCCAGAGAAATCTGCATAGAAATGTAACCCCGGAGAACTACAGGAACTTCTGTCATTAGTAAGGGCAATCTGTAGTCTCACAAAGCCCATTGTGGTGGGGTCTTTACCTCCTGAGATGTTCAAGACTGTGGGGTTCTCGAAGTGTTTTATGAGTTTGGGTCTAAAGTTCAGAGGCCAGAGTGTCTAAAAATCTTACTAAGCGGAGAAAGAATATTTCCCTTTTATTGTGTAACAGATTTTTATTTTTTAATTTATTTTTGGAGAGGTTTTTGCTATAAGGGCGCATGTTCTCACCAGAAAGACACAGAGAGACAGAGAGACAGAAAGCAAGAAATCAGCCCCGGGGGGATGGCAGCAATCCCTTCTCCTCCCTTCTTCTCTTGGGATCTTGGGCATGCACGAACAAGCGCCCGCATGAGTTTAAGCCACCGGGTCCAGAACTCGAACTGCGGTCGACTACATGGGAGTCCAGCGAGCGACATACCCATTATGCCAATTGCTGGTCCCATAATTTTATTTTTCCTTAATTTGCCATAGGGCACGTGCTCACCAGAGCACTCTCAGCTCTGAGAACTCTCAGCTGCAGGTTCTTACCCAGACACACATTTTGGGAGGACTCTTCATCATGCAAAGCTGTTCTTGCTCCAGGTGAGGTATAATCTCTGGTTTAAACAGATAAGTCCTCAAGAAAGTGACGCCTACAGAACCAGAGAGACAGGGAGAGACAGAAAGTGAGAAAGCAAGTTGCCAGGTCCGAAACTCAAACCACAGTTGGCCATGTGGGAGTCCAGCACCTTAACCACCGTGCCACCTGCCGGCCCCCAGATTTTTATTTTTACATTTTTAAATGGGTGGTGTTGCTGGACTGCTTCCAAAGCCATTATCTTGTCTTTCAGAGCTGTCAAAGGTCATGGGGACCAGCAGTTAGCGTAGTGGCTATGTCGCTGGACTCCCATGTAGTCAACCCTGATTCAAGTCCTGGACCTGGTGGCTTAAACTCATGCTGGGCGCATGTGTATGAGTGCCCAGGATCCCAAGAGGAGAATGGAGGAGAAGGGATTGCAGCATGGCCATCCCCCCTGGGAGGTGATTTCTCACTTTCTATCTCTCTGTCTCTCTCTGTCTTTCTGGCTAGCACATATGCCCTATAGCAAAAACTTCTCAAAA